GCAAGCATTTTATAATGGAGTATTCCCAATTCCTCCCTTCCATCCTATAACACTGTCATCATTTATTTCACTTACCTATATGCTATAATCATCCAATGCATTGTTGCTATTATTTTGAACATAAATATTAAATTAATAATAAAAACAAAAGATTTTATATTACCTTCATTTATTCCTTCTTTAACACTCTTCCTTTCTTTATGTAGATTTGAATTTCTGACCTACATGATCTTCCTTCTTTCTGAAGAACATCTTTTAACACTTCTTGCAAAATAGATACCAGAGACACATTTCTTCAGTTTTTGTCCAAGAAAGCATTCCTTTCTTCATCACTTTGAAAGATAGTTTCACTGGACACAGAATTCTAAGTTGGTAATTTTTTTTCTTTCTGCATGTTAAATATTTCACTCCACTTTCTTATTTTCATACTCCCTTAAGTGAAGTCTAATGTAATTCTTGCCCTTGTTCTGTAAGTACTGTGTTTTTTCCCTTTGGCTTCTTTCAAGATTTTCTTGTCTTTGATTTTCTACAGTTTGACTAAAATATCCTTAGATATAGTTGTTTTGGTATTTATCCTGTTTAGTGCTTTCCCAGATTCCTCTATCTATCTTTCATTTTGGAAAATTCTCAATCATTATTACTCCAAAATGTTTCTTCTGCTACTCCGTCTCCTAATCTTCTCCTTCTGGTATTCACATTACACGTGTGCTTACACCTTTTGTAACTGCCTCACAATTCTTAGATATTTTTTCCATCTTTGCATTCTTTTTTCTCTTTGCATTTCAATTTTGGAAGCTTCTATTGACATTTCTCAAGCTCACTGATTCTTTTCTCAGCAGTGACCAATCTATTGATGAACACATCAGACATTCTTCATTTCTGTTATGGTATTTTTTTTTTAGCATTTACTTTTGATTCTTTCTTAAGACAGAATCTCCTTGCTTACAGTGCCTTTATATTCTTGCATGTTATCCACTTTTTCCATTAGGATCCTTAGCATATTAATCATAGTTGTTTTTTAATTTCCAGTCTGATAATTCCAACATCTGTGCCATACCTGATTGTGGTTCTAATGCTTCCTCTGTTTCTTCACAATATTTTTTGGCTTTTAGGTGACTTGCAACTTTTTGTTGAAAGTCAGACATGATATATTAGGTAAAATGTATTGAGGTAAACAGGCTTTTAACATAAGGTTTTCTAAAACATGAAAATTAATGAATGCACTACACCACATTAATAGAATGAGAGGAAAACCCCACACAATCATCTCAATTAAAACAGAAAAGTCATCAAAAAAAACCCCTCAACATTCTTTATGATTAAAACACTAAGCAAACTAGATTAGAAAGGTATTTCCTCAACATGATAAAGGGCAGTAACCCACAGCTAACGTCATACTCAATACTGAAAGAGTGAAAACTTATCTGCAAAGATCAGGAATAAAACAAGGATGCCTGCTATCACGACTGCTATTCAGCACTTTCTTTGAAATTCTATCCAGATCAATCTTGCAAGAAAAAGAAAAAAAGCATCCAAATTGGAAAAGAAGTAAATATCTATTCAGAGATGACATGATCTCATGTATAAAAAATCCTAAACAACACACAACAAACAACTATTAGAACTAACAAATGAATTCAGCAAAGTTGCAGGATACAAGATCAAAACACAAAAACCAGTTCTATTTCTCTATACTGGCAATTGGTGGTGGCAGGGGCAGGGGGATTGATTGCAGGTCACAGCTTATTGGTAAAGGGTTTCCTTTTAAGGTGATGAAATGTTCTTGAACTAGATAGTTAGAATGGTGGCTGCACCACATTGTGAATGTACTAAATAGAAACTTTATTTTATGTGCATTTCACCATAATATAGGGTGGGAAAAAAAAAGAACCTGATGCCCAGATGACATTGAAGACTAATTACATCAGAACCTTGGGGCCAGGACCAGGTTTTCCTTATATTCCAAAGTACCCCAAGTGGTTCCTATGTGTAGCTAAGCTTAATTATTTGTTTATATATAGTAAGGTGATTTACTAAGAAGCCAGTAGGAATAGCAGAATAACCCATGGAGATAAAACTGCCATAAAATATTTATAAATGCCAGGTGCTTAAAGTATAGTGCTTTGTATAAATTGATTTTTATGTGGGTAGGGCTTAAGAGTCTACTTAAGAGCTTATTTTGCACATTGTCATTAAAATGTGGAATTTCTTCAGCTTTGTAAAATTATGTCCTATTGAAATATATTTCCCTTATTAAATATATTTTCTATTTCCTAATTTCTCACACTGAGATCTGAGAATTCAATTAGAATTTTTAAATTTTGAGATGTCATTTGAAAATCTAAGAAAAAAAATTTCCAGTATAACAAAAGTTTTCTTTTGCAGGGATACTTCCCAACTGACTTTTGGCTCCAATCTGTGAAAAATAAAATATTATGTATGTTTCCAGGCTTCACAGACACCCTGCATTCTCTCTTCCTGTCTTGTAAACCAATAGTCAGCATACTTCTAAAAAGGGCCAGAGAACATATATTTTGGGCTTTTCGTGATAAGCAATCTCTGTCACAACTATCCAACACTAAAACTGTAGTGCAAAAGCAGCCAAAGACAATAACAAGTAGACATAGTTGTGTTCCAATAAAACTTTATTTTCAAGAGACGTCAGGCTACATTTGGACAATAGGCCATAGTTGGCTAAACCGTGCCCTAAATGATTATTTCATATCTTCTCCTCTCTCCCCAAACTTCCAACAACTCTATTTTTATCTCAGTTGATCATTTTATTTGCTGTTTCACTGAAACAACACAAAGCAAGTAAAAGAAAAATTCCAAAACCTCCCATAATTACATCTCCCCATCTACCTGCCTCTTTATTTATCTCCTCTCTATGGTTGAACTATCTGTGCTCTTAATACTTTTACACTACATTTCATCCTCACTTACCTATTTAAGTAATTACTCCAGCAATTCTTTCCTTAGTTTCTTGCATTGTCAGTTTTTCTTTCTCCCTTGTCCTTTCTATGAGCCTACTATCTGCTGTAATGTCTCTACCTTAGAAATAAAAAAAGCCCATCTCTTGACCTCACTTCCTCTCCAGTATCACACCATTTTTCTTCCTTTCTCCGTATAGAAAAACTCTTAAAGAGTCCTTAACATCTCCAATTTCACTCCTCTATTCTCTCTTGAACCTACTCAAATCAGATTTTCATTCCTATCACTCTACCAAAACTGCTCTTATCAAGGCCTCCAATGATTTCCAAATTATAAGTACAATGTTCAATTCTTTGTCTTCCTGTTATTTAACCATTCTGTCATAGTTGCCAAAAGATCAGTTCTATCTCCTTGAAACTTTTTCACTTGGCTTTCAATGAACCATATTCTGGTTTTGCTCTTAATGCTGGCCAATCATTTGCTGGTTTCCCTTTCATGTTCCTGATGTCTAAATATTAAAGTGCCTCAGCCTCAGTTCTTGGACCTCTGCTATTTTCTCTCTACACTGATTCCACTGATGATCTCAGCCAGTCTCATTTGTCCTCCATATCATCTACATGCCAGTGACTCCCAAACTTCTATCTCCTGCAGAGACCTCCGCTGGCTTCCAACAGGATATCCAACTACCGACTCAACATCTCCACTTGATGCCTTTGAAGATCACACCTAGTTCCTAATAGTCTCCACCTCCTGAATCTCTTTTTCTTTAGTCTTTTCATCATTTTACATGGTAATCCTAATATTCAAGATCTCAGTTCTAATCACTGCAGTCACCTTGTTTCCTATTCTCTTACATACCATCAGAAAACATTTGATCCATCAGAAAACATTACTTGTACCTTCAAAATGTATTCAGGCTTCAAACATTACTCATCACTCTTACTGCCCTAGTGTAAGCCACCTCTCTCTCTCTTAACTGCACTATTTCAGGAGACTGCTAACAGGGCTTCAAGCTTCAATCTTTGTCCCTCCTCAGTCTCTTAGGTACAGGAATCAATGATCCTGTAAAAGAGTTAGCCTAGAGACTTTCAGTTCCTGTTGAAACAGAATCAGAACACTCTATCATATCTCTCCCACTCAGTATAGCTAAAAATCCTAAACAAAATATAAAATGAACCAGAAGAGCACCCCTCCCTTTCTTACACCCCATCTGGAAGTGGAGGCCCCTGAGAGATACAGCTCTGATTCTCCTGACTCCACCCTAGATGATGTAACTTCCAATAATGAAGTTACATTTATTCAGCAGCAATATTAATGGTGGTGACAGGCAGGATGGCAAGGCTGGCCCCACATACTCTTTGCCCTTACGACTTTAATCCAATACCAGCCTATTGTGGAAAAGTTTGCAACAAAGTGGGAGGAAAAAGCATGGGCTTTCTAACCAGAAAACCAAGAAGGAAAGCCAATGAAGTCTAAGAATGCAGAGTATTACAGAGTAAGAAGCTGGAAAGAATGATCCTTAAATCATGAAATACTAAGCCTACCTCTGAGCTGTGCACATAAAACATAGCTTCATATAAAACATAGAAGAAATTGAGCAGAATTAGCATGTCCAAGTCTTTAAGGATTTTAACAGAACCCAGGATCTCTTAACATAATGTCTGGGATAAAATCTGAAATCACTCCACACCTAGGATTTCCACTCCTAGGAATTTACCCAAAGAAAACAAGATCTCAGATTCAAAAAGACATATGCATACTTATGTTTATTGCAGCAATATTTACAGTAGCCAAAATATGAAAGCAACTTAGGTGTCCATCAGTAGATGAATGGATAAAGAAGAGATGGCACATATACACAATGGAATACTATTTAGCCATAAGAAGAAAACAAGTCCTACCATTTGCAACAACATGAATGGAGCTACAGGGTACTACGCTCAGTGAAATAAGCCAGGTGGAGAAAGACAAGTACTAAATGATTTCCCTCATTTGTGGAGTATAACAACCAGGCAAAACTGAAGAACAAAACAGCAGCCGCTCTCTGTGCGGACGGGACGGCGGGCCGGATGCGGCGGCCGCTCCTGCGGACAGGGCCGGTGGACCGTAGCACGGAAGGAACCGTTGGATTGCCCTTTCCCGAGGGCGCTCGCGAGCTACTGACTGCTGAATACGGCTGCGGCGTCGCCTGCAACTATTGCTCAGGCCCCGGACTAACGGATTCTGCGAACGCGCCCAATGGCTGGTCCCCTTCGACTGACGGCCCTAGAAGCCAATAAGCGTGCGGAATCTCGCCCCCATAAACGTCCCTCAAGGCCAATGACCGAGCGGCGCCGCGGAGCAGGCAGTCGTCGGGAGCGCTCGCAGAATATGTTAGTCCGGCGGCTGCGTAGTAACTGCAGGCGCTGCCGCCTTCCTATTCAGCAGTCAGAGCTGCGAGGGCCGTAGCGAGAGGGAGTTCCAGTGGCTCCCTCCGTGCTTCGGTTTGCTGGGCCTGTCCGCAGGAGCGGCCCGGCGTAGACCAGATGTTGGAGCTGCGCTGTGCTCGGCTGCGCCTTCCTCCCGGCGCGCTTGCCCTGGCGGCACCGACCTCGCTCCCCAACCTCTGATCTCCTTTTCGCGCCCGCTGGGCCCCCGGCGCGGCTTTCGCCCCTTCTCGGCTCTTCCGCGGTGGGCGGAGGGCGGCGATCGACTCAGACTTGGAGCCGCCGCCCGGCCGGACTTGAGCCAGTCCAGCTCTGCCACCTCCAGCCTGGCGCCGTCGGGCGGCGCAACTAGGAACCCCGATGCCGCCGCGTGCCTGCCTTCGGCCTCGGCGGTCGCTGAGGGGCAGTCGCCCAAGAACAGTTCGTCCCTCCGCAGCGCGTGGGGGCAACCTGTCCCACGCCGACCGTATCGCCAAGGCCATCGAGAGCACGGGCGCGCAGCAGCTTACGCTGCCGCAGATCTACGGTGGTTGGTCAAGAGCGGGCCTTACTTAAGGGATGAAGGCGACAGCGACAGCTCTGCGGGCCGGAAGGTACGTGGCCTCGGGGCACGGTCGGACCCGGACGGGGCGCGGGGATCCCTGCCTCCGCCTGAGGTGGCGGTGGAGCTGGACGAGGGGGCGGCCGTGCAAGTTGCTCGGCAGGCAGTGCGTCGCCCATGGGGCCGGGAAGCGGCCGACGCGGGTGTTGGGCTCGCTGGGCCCGGCCGGGGGTCGGGAGTCGGCGCGCTCTGCCGGAGGGGCTGCCCGGGAAGGGAGGAAGGTGGAGCAAGTGCGCCGAGAGCGGCCGTCCGAGCGGCCAGCGAAGTTCGCCGGGGCATCGGGAAGAGGGGCTCGCCGCAGCCTCTGCTCCTCCCTCCGCGACCGGTGGTGAGGGCGGCTGCTCTCCGCCCGGCCTGGGGCTGCGCTGCCGACCTGCTACCGCCTCCCGGGGCCGCAGGCGGAGGAGACGGGCCGGGCCGCGCAGACGGGGAGGCCGGTGGGCATTTTGCCGTGTGTGGATTTTTTTGTCGGGGGCCTCGAGGGCGAGGGCCGGGCGAGCTGAAGTTCAAGTGTGACCCGCGGCGGGGCGGCGGGGGAGAGGCCTCCCGGAGGCAGCGCCTTTAGAATTAAAGGTTTTTTTCATGAGGTACCTCCCGTATTTTTTATTTGGTAATGAAGTTTCTTTACTTTGGTCTGCGAATTGACAGTGCGTTTTCTTGTATTTAAAAGTCCCTGTCTTTCTGTCATTATTTCTTCTCTGATCTTTACTGTGTCCCTCCTTCTGCTGACTTTGGGCCTCATTTGTTGTACTTATACCAGTTTCAATAATTGTGATTTTATACTATTCATTTGGGATTGTTCTTCCCTCTTTAAATAGGCCTGAATTGCTATATACTTTCCTCTTAGAACTGCCTTGCTTTGTGCTGTTGTTGTCATTTGTCCATATATCGCTTGATCTCTGTTTTAATTTGGTCATTGATCCATTGATTATTTAGGAGCATGTTGTTAAGCCTCCAAGTGTTTGTGAGCCTTTTTGTTTTCTTTGTACAATTTATTTCTAGTTTTATACCTTTCTGATCTGGGAAGTTGGTTGGTAGGATTTCAATCTTTTTCAATTTACTGAGGCTCTTTTTGTGGCCTAGTATGTGGTCTATTCTGGAAAATGTTCCTTGTGCACTTGAGAAGAATGTGTATCATGCTGCTTTTGGGTGTAGGTTTCTGTAGATGTCTGTTAGGTCCATCTGTTCTTTTTTTCTTAATTTATTTTTTAAATTTTGGTATCATTAATCTACAATTGCATGAGCAACATCATGGTTACTTGACTCCCCTCTTTATCAAGTCCCCACCACATACCCCTTGACAGTCACTGTCCATCAGTGTGGTAAGATGCTGTAGAATCACTGCTTGTATTCTCAGTGTTATACTGCCTTCCTTGGTTAGGTTTCTTCCTAGGTTTTTTTTTTTTTT